GCCTTGACCACGCCCACACACAACTGCACATGCGCACAGGCACCCAGGGTCCACTCCTGAGCCCAGGCTAGACCACGGTCCCGGGCATGCGCACTCCACAGACCCATCAGCAAGCGGTGCACAGGTGTCCCCACACCCACCCCGACAGCAGGCTGGCGCTCACGCCCTGGGGTGCACGTCCAAGGGAAAAGCCGCTAGAACTCCTAGCACCCCCAACTCGCCAAAGGACTGTAGAAATGCACCCTAACAAAAGGGCTCCCTAGGTTGAATGATGTTGGGTTGAACAAAGACGAGCCGGTGTGGCTAAGGGGAGGGGGACGCAACGCCATCGAGCTGAAACCCCCCAGCCAGGGCCGGGTGGCCTGGAAACGGGGCTCCGTGGTGTGGGCCTGGGTGTCCCCAGAGGAGCCCGAGGAGGGAGGCCCCGCCTACGGCTCCTGGGGAACAGTGGGAGCTTGGGCCGAATGCTCATCAGAGGGGTCCACCGAGTTAATATGAGGCCACCCGGGGTGTGCCTGCCTCGGGGCAGGCCTCACATTGGGGTCACCCATGCGCCTTGACTTGATTCCTCTCAGCAGTCAGGGGCTTTCTCCGGACTCACACTGGGGAAGCTGCCCACTGGGTTACATTGCCCTGGCCCCACCACCTTGGCCCTGGAAGGGCCCCACCAGGCCCCTCCCTGCTCTGGGCACAGTGGCCAGCAGGTCTGGGGTCCATGTGAGGCTGCTGCCTAGGGCCCCAAGAAGGCAGCCCAAGGATGGTGCCTTGGACCCAGGCGGGCCCTGGTACTGTTTAGCCTGCCCTGGTGCTGAGCCTGGGCCTGGAGAAGGCTCCCTGGCAGCGAGTGCTCTGGGTGCTTCCCTCCACTGCAGGGTGCTGCCTCCCCTGGGACTCCAGACACACACACACACACACACACACACACACACACTCTCTCTCTCTCTCTCTCTCTCTCTCTCTCTCTCTCTCTCTCTTGTACCTAGGATTGAACAGGAGCACTCAACCACTGAGCCACATCCCAGCCCTTTTTAACATTTAGAAAATGGGTCTCACTGCTGAGGCTGGCTTTGAACCTGTGATCCTCCTGCCTCAGCCTCCCAGGCTGCTGGGATTCTAGGCGTGCACCACCACACCTTGCTGGGACTCCACCTCCTGCTTCTCCTTCCTCCCTGGCCCTTCTCCTTTCCTGCCCGTGTCCCTCGAGGTCTGTGTTGGTCCTTCTTCTTCCCGCTGTCCCTCAGTCATCTGCCACAGGCTGTGAACCCTGGATGCTGACATGCATTTCTACATGCATCTTTTTAACGTGTCTGGTCTGCTTTATTCTCTCCATGTAGCAGGATGAACTGGTTCCTTCATTTGCGAGGTTAATACTTTCTGCGCATGTGCTGTAGGGGGCCAGCACACAGTGGGTGCACAAAGTCAGCTGGGCAGAGCAAGAGCCCGGTAAGGTTTCTTGTTAGAAATCGTTCATTGATTCTTAGGTAGCCTCTCACTGCAACTCTGCTGCTGCCCCACCCTACGCTAAAGCCCTGGGCAGAGAAGGGACATGTGACAAGACGGCTGTTCCTCAGGGAACTGTTATTCTGTAGGCAGCGCTGGACAGTGAGGCTGGGTTAGACACTAGTCAGCAAGCATAGGCAGTCACTGGAGAGTTGAGCTGGGGATAGGGGCTGTGCATTCCGGGAGGGCTTCCTGGAGGAGGAGTGGAGGCATCATTGGATGTTGGAGTTCAACTGGAAAAGAGGGGTGTTCCAGGCAGGGGTTATGGGGGGGCCAAGAGGCCAGTGGTCTCTGGTCAGGAGTAATGGGGCCTGAGTGGCAGGATCTCTGTTCTCAGTGGCCATCCCGAGGGCAGTGAGGCTGGATTCCGAGCAGCACTAGGCCCAGGCTGGTTGTCCAGCCAGACCCTCCAGATTATTTCATTGAGAGCAACCTGCTGGCTTCCTGTTGGGGCCCAGCATGCTGCCCACCTCGTCCCCATCATGCACCTGTCTCAAATGGCCTCCCTGGGCTCAGAGCCACATGAAAAACAGGAGCCCGGAGGAGGGCAGCCTGCGGAGGGGCAACCGGATCCACGTGGCTGTTGGGAAGGACCAGGAGCAACGAGCAGACTGCAGGCCACGGAGACGGGCGGCTCTGAGGGCACAAGGTCCACCTGTCCTGGGGTCAGACAGCCCCCGTCACCGGAGCTGAGGGACAGCACCTGTGGAGATGCTGCGGTGGCGGAGGCCAAGGCGGAAGCCCCAAGCCTGGGGTCTGAGGCCCCTGCATCCAGGAGGGCCGTGGCTTGTCGTTGGAGCAGGTGGGGGCTGCAGAATGTGGAGGAGCTTCTCTTTATCGTCTAAACTGGAGACAGCCTCCGGATTTAAAGCGAGTGACTAGCACTCAAGAAGCTCCAGTTTGGAGGGATTTCTTCCATCTTCCTCGAGAAGCCAGAAGCCTCAGCCTCCGGGAATCCTCCCGTCCCTCCGCCCAGGCCCCTGCCCTCTCCGCCCTCCCCCTCCCCCTCCCCCGCGAACAAGGCAGGAGGCGCCCCGCCGGCTGCGGCAGGGCCAGCCACCCCTGCTGGTCCTTCGCTCTCCGGGTGGGGTCTGCCCGCTGACATAAAGATGAGACCCCCAGAGCCGAAGGCACCCTCTGAAGTCACAGGCAGGATGGCCCTAGGCTGGGGGTCTTCGTGCATGGCCTCCGCTCTCCCACTCACCTGGCCTCAGTGGGGGGCCCGAGATGGGCAAAGCTGGGCCCTTGTTTCTCACTGTGGAGGTGGACCTTCTGCATCAAGAGCTTCTCAGGCTGTGCCCATTCCCTCATCCCCCAGGATGGCCAGAGCAGGACCCCAGGATCCCTGAGGGCCTGCATTCCTTCTCCTCTCCCGGCCTCCCTGGGAATGGGGCCCACAGGGCTGAGAGGGGTGCTGCGGATGACCCGGGCAGGTCCCACCTTCTCCCCAGCCTGGGTCTCCCTCAGGTTAAACCGGGGGTTGGGGTTGGTCCCACCAGCCCTGACTTCTTTGAGACGGGGTTGCCCTGCCTGGCCACAGCCCCCACTGTGTGGGGTGGTCGCCGTCCCAGGTTGATCCAGAGAAGACTGCGGGGTCCCTGGGGTTACAGGCTGGGGCCTGGGAGCAGCAGGAGGGCAGGAGGGACGGGGCCACCCCCCGCCCCCCGTCTGGCCTCAGGAAGTTGCATAACGGAGATGTTTATTTTGGGTGAGGCTGGGTGGGATTTCTTTCCTTAAAAAAAACCCCAAAACATAAAATTTATTTGTCTGCCAAGAAGATAAATATCTGTGCTGAAAGCTCCCAGCCCCGCTGCCAGCTGCAGTTTACATGATGCTGTCACCGATCCGTGGTCAGCTGGTGTGCCTGGGCTCACATGGGTGTCATGTGTGATGCTCTGGGCCGTCACCATCCCCGTGGCTTCTATATGGGGCCAGGCATGGCCTCCGAAGCTGTCCCCAGACCTACTCTGGGCAGTCACCTCTGCCCGATTTTCCTCAATGCCATGGAGACAGCGGGGACAGAGGTAAAGTGTCCCTCTCGGCTGTCCCGCTGCACCCAGAGCCAGGAATGAGAGTGAGTGACACCTCAGCCTCTGGGGTGGGGATGGAGTCCACCTGGGCTGGAGGACGCATCCTGGCCTCTGACGCCCATTGCAGAAGAACAGCTTGAGCTTGCGGGTCCAAGGGCGCTGCTCATTCCCACAGCGCATGCGTGTGCCGATCATCTGAGCAGGCGCACGTGGAGCTTCAAATGCAGCCCGCACGTCTGATCAGCTGTGCGCATTGTTGCACTCAGCCGGTTCGTTTGCCCCAAGACAGGGGACTGTGGCTAGAGCGGGCCTCTCACCCACCTGCCCAGACGCCCCATCTCTGTCCCCCAGGGAATCTGCGCAGGCCCCTGTGCCCTGGGTCTGCTCCTCCAAGGACTTCACAGGTCCTCTGGCGCCAACTGGGACAGTGGGCTTGCAAGTCCAGACCAGCAACGGGAATCAACCACGGCCAGAGCCCACGTGGCCAGCCCTGTGCTGAGAGCCCCTCCGTTCTCACAGCCACCGTGGGGAAGACCCGACGGGTGTCTGCACCCCCATTTACGGAGGGGGAGGCCGAGGCATGGAGGTTGTCGGGAGCACAGGGCTGGAGTTGCAGGTGTGGGATTCGAACCCTGGCCCCAGGGCCCACACCCTGCACCCTGCCACGAGGCAACTGTGCCCCCTCGGGAGGTGACCAGGCCCCCTGGATGTGGACTGCTGCTCTCTGCACTCCCCCGCTGCCCCCCCCCCCCCCCAGCCTGGCCTCCGTCTCCTCGTCCTTGACCTAAGGGCTTGACCCAGCTCCACACGGCCCTGAGCTTCTGGGGGCTGGCCACGGGAGACCCCTTGGGTCACCAAGCAGAGGCTCCCAGCTGTGTTCAGTCCCCCAGGCCCAGATGTTGGCCTCTGGTGGATGGTGCTGGACAGCCTCAGTCACAGCGGGCAGGACATGGCTTGGGCAAGGAACTGAGGCCCGTGTCTCAGTTGTGTCCACTCCCAAGGAAGAAAGGCCCTGTGGCAGGTGGTGGGGGGGCGGTAAGGGCATTCGACCCCAGCACTGACGTCTGGGGACAGAGGCTCCTTAACGTCTTTGAACCTCAGATGAGACCAGGCTGCCCTGGTGACGCCTCTCCTGGTGTCCGCAAAGCCCAGGGGGCCAGACATGGCTACTGAGTTCTCCACTCCCCCCGGGAGGCCAGGGCACCGGCCTGACCCTCCATGCCCAGAGGTGTCCCGCCCAGGGAGTCCTCTAGGGGAGGAGGGGGAGTCACGTCACAGGTCAGATGGGCCAGCTCAGAGCCAGGTGACACTGGGGTTCAGGAGGGAGGGGGCTTGCTCAAGGCCTCAGGGCACGTTAATGGTGAGCGGAGGTTAGAACCCGCGTCTCCTCTGAGAGGGGGACGGCGTGGCCAGCTCCTCTCCCCTCCGGCTTGACTCGGCCACTGTCTGACCTCGTTTCCTCTCCCTCAGCCAAAGAGAGCTCCCTGGGGGAGCCAGAGTTGCCCCCCGACTCTGACGCCGTGGGCATGGACAGCAGCTACCTCAGTGTGAAGGAGGCTGGGGTCAAGGGGCCCCAGGACCGGGCCAGCTCTGACCTTCCCAGCCCGCTGGAGAAGGCGGACTCGGAGAGCAACAAGGGCAAGAAGCGGCGCAACCGCACCACCTTCACCAGCTACCAGCTGGAGGAGCTGGAGAAGGTCTTCCAGAAGACGCACTACCCCGACGTGTACGCGCGGGAGCAGCTGGCCATGAGGACGGACCTCACCGAGGCGCGCGTGCAGGTCAGTGGGGCCCCGGGCGGGGCCAGGAGCAGGGGCTGGGGCCATGGCCTCCTGGGCCCAGAGGCCACCCCTCAGAGGCTGGGGCTCCCCAGCACCGTGTGCCCAGCCACGTCAGTACAGGCCCCTCTGCTGTGGAGGGGGCAAAAGAAGCAGGGCCGCAGTGGAGGGGTAGGAGCCCGCTGCCTGCAGCCAGATCCCTTCGAGAAGGAGCAGGGTGGCCGCCCCAGCTCTGGGAGGCCTGGGAAACACAGGCGTCCACGGCAACCCACGGCAGAAGCAGAGAACAGCCCAGGTCTTCCCCACGCCTGGGTGGCTGCCTCCCCCTGCCTCTGACAGGTCCCAAGGCCACACACCTCTCTGAGGAGTGTCCCTGGCCCTCATGGCTACGCAGTAGGCCCCGCCACCGCCCAACTCCAAAAACCCCACCAGCCCACACTACACAACTCAGCCACACAACTCAGACCAACACATTCCACACAACCCAGCCACCTCGGCCTCACACACACGGCCAAACCAGGCCACCCCGCCACACCGTCTACTCGATCTTTATAGAACTGATGAGCGGCTTAAATGACTTCACCTCCTCCCCCTAGAACCTGAATCCCTTAATTGGTCATCTGTGTCCCCACCAACCGGGCACGGTTGAACTCAGAGCCACGAGGGCAAGACACAGACATCTGCAGAGCAATCGACCTCTGAGAAGAGATGTGTCCCCTTCCCCGCGTGAAACCTAAAAGTGAAGTGCTCTCAGTAGCCTCAAACAAGTGGCAAAAATCACAGGCTAAAGTTCGAGCTTTGGTGTAACACAAAATAAATCTCACACGCAGGCTGGTTCCCCAGCCCAGAGCATATTAGAAAACGCAGACGCAAGCCTGGTGCGGTGGCACGTGTCTGTAATCCCAGCAATTCAGGAGGCTGAGGCAGGAGGATCACAAGTTTGAGGCCAGCCTCAGCAATTTAGTGAGACCCTAAGCAGCTTAGCAAGACCTTGTCTCAAAACAAAACAAACAAATGAATAAATAAATAAAACCAAAAGGGCTGGGCTGTGGCTCAGTGGTAGAGTGCCCTGAATTCCATCCCTGCACCACTTTACTATGGCAGACAGAATTGTCACATGGCAGTTTTCCCCTCCAGGGGGCCAGAAAAATCAGCAGCCCGAGTGCAAAGAGGATTTTTCTCTTTAATCAGTGCAGCACAGTGCCACCCAGCTGTATGGACCCCCGAGACCCCTGTGCCCCTCCACAGGCCCCAGGCGCTGGGGCTGGGTCATGGGAGAATCTTTAGCAGGGTGGCTCTAAGGCACGTGAGAGCTCCCGACGTCAGCCACGTGCTGTAGGATCAGGCCAAGGAAGGCATCTGAAATCTAGTCCAGAGACTTTCCATGCACAATGTCCAGCAGGTACCAATAGACCTGCGCTCTCCAGGCTGCGGCCACTCCGAGTGACTCTGGTGTCACGTGGTTGAGCCTATGTGAATGGGGAGCAGGTGGCCTGGGCTTTACTGCCATCTCAGAGGCTCACCTGCACGGCTGTGGTAGGAGCCCCACCCAGAACCCGACCTCAGCTGCAGCTGATGGACTGGGGACAGCTGCTTGGGTAGGTGAGAGGACGCCCCTGTCAGGAGACCCCACAGGTGCTGCGTGGGTGGGTTCAGCCGGCTCTCCTTCACTTCAGCACGCGTGTGCCTGAGTGTGCATGTGCGTGTGCGTGTGTGTTGCACCCAGGCTTCCTAAAGAAGGACAGCCCATTCCCCAGGAGGCACAGAGACACCCTGGGCTCTCAGAGCATGTTTTAGCCACCGCCGTACACTGCAGGTGGAATATTCTTTCTGCATACACATACATAGGCCTCCTTCCAGAACAGAGTAGAACAGTTAAAGATTTCTCACTTTGATCTAAGATAAAGAATGGGGTCGAGAAACGGGAGGTAATTATCTCAAATACCTTGGCTCAGGCTCACAGTTGGCATTAAGCAAGAATTGTGAGCTTCCTGGCGGCCAAAGCAGAAAGAGAAAGTCTGATGTCGCCTAGCTTACCCTCTAACAGGAAGATGATGGGACACGGAATGGTGGTTCTGGAAAGGATCCCTCGACCTTCTGTTTGGATAGAGAAAGAAGACGCAGAGGCGGGAAGAGACAGTCTAAAGTGAAGAGTGACCCAGTGGCACCCCCGCCTTCTCGTCCTGGGTTCCTTGACTTCGCTGTCCAGGACACAAGCCAGATTCTTCTGAGGCTCTTCTTTGTGCACAGGCAGCAGGGTGGGTGGGATCGCCATGTGCGTCAGACCTCTGGGCTGCACTCTGAGCCTGGAGGGCCCTGGGGCTGTGATGGAACCCCAGGCCTCCTCTGCAGCCCCTCTCAGCTGGTGGTGAGCCCGGGGCCTGGCGTGGCGTGGCCGTGGGACCAGGGCCTCAGGGGTCCCAGGATGGACTTTTCCTGGGAAGAAGCTGGGCCTGGCCCTGCTCCAGGGGCTGGAGGGCCTCTCTGCTGTCTGGGATTCCAGTCCCCGCAGCTGGTGTGTCTGAAGACAATAAGAGGAGCCTCCCCGCCCTGAGCCACCCGCCCTGGCCCCAGATGGGCTGCGGTTACAAGGCCTCCGCCAAGACAGTTGGTCCCTGCACAGCCTGGTCCTTGGGAGAGGCCCGTGCTGAGTGGGCCCAGCCCCGGGTGGGCCAGGAGCGGGGTGGTCCTGGGCGCGACGTTCCGGGTGGGAGAGTGACTGGGAGCACGGTGGGCTCTCCTCCTGTCTGGGCTGCCCAGAGGGGACAGGCCTGTGAGGCAGAGGCCCAGCTGCAGGCCAGGGAGGAAGGTGAGCACCGAGGCCAGAGGCCCCTCACCGCCCAGGGCATGGTAGGACGGTGGCGCCCGCCATGCCAACCTGGGGGTAGCCTTGATCTGGCCTCACCTGAAAGTGAGGCTTGGGGTCAAAGGACCACTGAGGAGGGGGCAGGCCTGCTCCACACAACACCCCCTCCCACCAGCCCTGCTTTAGCCCTCAGAAAAACCCTCGGCCTCGCCCCACCCCCCCAGGCTCTCTGCCCCCAAGACTGTAGACCCCTTTGCCAGACACCAGACACCCTCTTCCCTCCACACCCACCTATGGTTCCTCCACTCCGGGGCCCTCCCCCACATTCCCAAGGCCCAGGGGACCTGAGCCCAGAGACACCAGGGGAGGCAGTGCCATAAAGGGCCCCTGCCTCTGCCCCCCCACCCCCCCACTCCCCCGTGGAAAGAAAGAGCCATATATGTGGACGCTCCGGAGGGTCCCCTCCCCCAGCTCTCCCCAGAAAACCCTGGGAGGCTGAGGAAGAAGCGGAAAGGCCGAGCGCGGCCTGCAGGAAATTAAACATGAAATGAAAACAAGCTCCTCTGACTCATTCTCCCATCCTGCCCCGCCCCCACCCAGGCCACTGATAAAGGGGATCCCGTTTCAGCATCGCTGAGAGGAGACCCGCGTGCCCCTGGCTCCCAGTGGGCGGCCTGGGCCAGGAGGAAGAGAGGCCCCCCGGGGGCTCCGGGGCAGGGCCTGAGACCCCAAGCCCAGGAGGGGGCTGGTCTTCGGGGAGGTCACAGGAAGGGTGCTGTGTGTGCGTGTGTGTGCGTGTGTATGTGTGCATGCGCGGGCGCTCTCGGGAGCACACACGTGGACGTGGGATTAGGAAGGGGAAGTGCTCTGGAGCAGGAAGGGCCATCCTGCGCCCTGCCCAGCCCCCACTAACCCAAGACACACATCCCCCCTCAGTGACCTCCCTCCAGGGGCAGGAGGCAGCCAGGAGGGCAGCGAGGAGGGCCAGGAACCCGCTAGGGCTCGACTGCAGGCTCCTGTGGGCCCTGGCCACACTGACAGGTCCTGCTCCACAGAGGGAGGAGCCGGGCGGTGGCCACGCAGGCCCTGCTGGGTGCCACCCCGTTAGACCCTGGACAGCCAGGCAGCGTGGCAGGAGCCCCTCAGTGGTTCCTGGGAAGCTCCGGGGCTCCCAGCAGAGGGTTGGAGAGGCAGCTCCCCTCTGGGGCCGCAGCCGCCTCCGTCCCCGTGGGTGGGGAGGGCGTCCGCCTGGTCCCTCAGGAAAGCCAGGTTCCTGGGAGGCCAGGGCTGGAAGAGCTTGAAGAGGCGGTGTTCCCTGTCCCTCTGGCGGTGCGCTGTGGGGCACGCCCTCTGCATCTGAGCCTGTGAAGTGCCCTCTGGCAGGGCGCAGCAGGCTGGCAGACAGCTCCCTTGGGGGAGCGCCTGAAGCCACCCGGCCAGAAGCCGAGTCCTCCCCTCGCTCCCTCTCCCTCCTCTGCGCCCCCTACTCCTCCATCACAGTCAAGGCCAGAGGTCGCCAGCCCCAGGGTGAGCCCTTGGCCATGAGCTGGAGAAGGCGCTCGGCCTGCCAGGAAGGCTCCCGGCCACTCAGTCCCAGCCCCAGCCCATGCACCCAGCCAGGGCCTCTCCTCCCAGCCAGGTGCACGCCAGGCCCCTCGGCACAGATTTCGCAATGCCACTGTGGATAGCATGGAGGACAGAGCCCTCCCTTGGCACTGAGGCCCCACAATGCCACTCTAGCTCTGCGTCACCCCTTCCACCATGTCCCCCAGACTGGCCTCCTCAGGCCTCCCGGACATGTCTCGCTGTCCTCAGCTCAGGTCAGGGCTTCCCTCCTTCCAGGCCCAGTGCTGTCTCCCAGGGGCCTCCCGACAGCTTCCCCCGTACCCCCAGGGCCTCACCTATAGTAACACGGGCAACTTCTGAGCTGGGAGACCGTTCCCAGCCCCGAGGCTGCAGGGAAGCAGGAGCTGGATCTGGGCCGTCGGGGCCTGGGGGCCGCGGGCTTTGTGGAGAGCTTCGCCCAAACTCTGCCCTTCTAGAAGGGATTTCTAGAGGGGTGTGTGAGGCCTTTAGCTGTTCTCCCAGGAGGCCTGGCCCACCGCCGAGTGGGCGGCACCCCTGAAGGGGCTGGTTAGGTGACTGTGTGTGACATTGGCCTGCTCTAGAGCTTAGACCAATGGGGTTCCTGGCTCAGTGAAGATGTTTCTAGATCAAGAGCTCTGGAGGACAGACGGAGGCAGTTTATCTGTGGTTCTGTGACCCCAACACATGCCCTGTGACAGGTGCGGCTTGGGGAACACTGCCCTAGGACCAGGGCTCCGGGTGGGCCTGACGCTGTGGCACTCCTGTCCTGCAGGTCTGGTTCCAGAACCGGAGGGCCAAGTGGAGGAAGAGGGAGCGCTTCGGGCAGATGCAGCAGGTGCGGACCCACTTCTCCACTGCCTACGAGCTGCCCCTCCTCACCCGGGCTGAGAACTACGCGCAGGTGAGGCCAACACCCAGGCCCTGGTGAGGAGAGTGCCCTGGGGAAGAGCCTGGGGCCCTGAGGTGGCACTCAGGCTCTGGCTTGCCTTCAGTCCCCTCCCAGGTGTGTGCCAATTGGTCTCTGCTGTGTGGCGCCAAAGCTGTTTCTGCCTGGGGTCATCACGGGTGGCTGGGCTTCGGGGAGGGGAGGTGGGGGCGAGAGTGGCCTTCTCCTCTGCTTCATTGGCCACTCTTTCTATGGGCAGAGGGACTAAGGCAAGTGGAAGGCCAGGGGCCTCCAGGCCTCGGCTGAATTCAGAGTGTCCCTAGCAAAGGGGCTTCTAAAATCTGGAGGGCTTATGGGCAGGCTGGGACGCACATGGGACGCTGAGCGCCAGGACCACAGTCCTTCCCAGGCCCACGTCCTGCCCATTTCTTGAGGTCCCCAGCTCTCCAGCCTCGGTTTCTTCCCTGTAAATGGGGCAAGATGAAAGACTCTGCCTCGGTCCCCCTGTCAGGCTTCCGTAGGTCAAACCTAGATAATGCAAAGGCACCTTGGAGTCACAGCTTCCCAGAGGAGCTTGCTGGGCAGGGACTTGGCCCTCCAGGCCCTGACCCCTTTGCCCCTGACACTCCCAAGCTGTCTTCCTGGATGTCTGTGAGCCAGACCTGAGCCAGGGTCCGCAGAGTCCTCAGTGAGGTGACAAGGGACCAGAAGCATTGCGAGTGAAGCCAGGCACCCAGGACACTGGCACCGATGTATTTTTGGCCGAGTCCACTCCTGACACCCTCCACCTGTCTGGCAGAGGGCCTTCCCTCCTGCATGGCCTCCAGCTCAGCCCCAAGTCTTGCCCCATCCCCAGCCCATCTCCCAGGCAGCCGTGGCACAGGTGCTCCTAAGACCCTTTCCTCCTCCCTGTGCTCTGCGGGCCGCTGATCTCCGGCTCCCCACCTGGACCAGCTCCACACCTCCTGCCACCCGCCCAGGATTCATGGGGCGGGGGCAGGGGTCAGGCCTGGAGTGGGGCTGAGGAATGCGGTGTCTCCTGTGGGCACCACCGGCCCGGGCCCCTCTGCATTCTTTCTTCTCCCTCTCGCCGCCCTCCCACCCTAACCCAGCCTCCCACTGTCCTGGGAGGAGGAAGCTTCAGCCCTGGCTGTTGGGCTTGATCGCTGCCATCTGCGCTCGGGGCTGGAGGGGGAAGCCCACACGGGGCACTGCTCATCTCTCACCTGCAGCCCCCGAGCCCCAGGCCCAGATGGCTTCTCCCATGGGGACCAACCAGCCCACTTCCTGGGCACACCGGGAGGGGCAGCAAGGCTACTCTGCAGGCACTCCTTGATGTCCCGGGTCCAGCTCCCCGCAGTGTGTCCACACGAGGGAGAGGGCAGGCCAGCAGAAGCCTGCTGAGGCCAGCAAGAATCCACGCGTGTGGCTGAGAGGCGCACGGCCTGCTCCTCCAAGCTGGTCCTCCGCACCCCAGATCTGCTTCCTGGAAAACGCTTAGAGGCCAGAGGAAGGTGGACACGCAGAGTGGGAGCTGGGGGGATCACAGTTGTGCTGATGGGAGATGAGGCGTTCAGCTCACGCCCCTCCCTGGGGCTCAGGGACGTCCAGCCGTGGCCCTGTCTGTCCACACCTGAGGCGGCCCCTCCCAGCCTGGGTTGGCGTAGGCCTCGGCCTCCACCACAGCTGGGGAGCCCAGAGCCTGCGTTCCTGACGCCAGGCACTCTGAGCCGAGGTCAGCTCACCTCCTAGGCCTGCGGGAGGGTCAGAGGTGACTGACGCAGTGGCTGAAATCAGGACAGCCTTTTGCTGAGCACCTTAGAGCTTCTGCTGAGAGCCAAAGGTTAGACGCTCCAGCCTGGGTCCTTCGTGACCACGGACCATGAGGAGGAGAGGTGGTTGGAGGGACCCTCCAGCCACCCTGACTCCCCTCCTGCGCTCTCTCCAGATTCAGAACCCGTCCTGGATCAGCAACAATGGGGCTGCCTCGCCGGTGCCGGCCTGTGTGGTCCCCTGTGACCCGGTACCTGCCTGCATGTCCCCTCACGCCCACCCCCCTGGCTCTGGGGCCAGCGGTGTCACCGACTTCCTGAGTGTCTCTGGGGCTGGCAGCCACGTGGGCCAGACGCACATGGGCAGCCTGTTCGGAGCGGCTGGCCTCAGCCCGGGCCTCAACGGCTATGAGCTCAATGGCGAGCCGGACCGCAAGACCTCGAGCATCGCGGCGCTGCGCATGAAGGCCAAGGAGCACAGTGCGGCCATCTCCTGGGCCACATGACAGGGCCCCTCCCGTCCGGCCCCGTGTCCTCCCCCACCTCGGGGCCCTGGCTCCGCCCAAGCTTCCCAGGCCCCCAGCCTCCCACCTAGGAACCTGGCCTGGCCCAGGGGCCTGACCCTCAGCACTTTCAGCCACCCCGAGTCTGAGGCCCTGCGGACTGCTGGGGGGGAGGGACAGCAGGCCAGCCCGCCCGGCCCTGAGGTGGCCCTCTGCGCCCATGGCCATCAGCACAGTGAGGGTCCTGGGCTGTTCCACTCTCCACCCGGTCAGTGCTGCCCCTCCTGAGGGCCCCGCGGGAGGATCTGGTGCTCGCCTTTCCTCACCTTGCCCTGGTCACTCATGGGGCTGCTCAGCAGTGTCCTGGAGTGGAAGGACCTACAACCCGGAACAGTAAGCTAGGTTTTAGGCCCAAGGTGGCTCTCTCTGCTGGACCTCCAGGCAGGTGACCCTTCCATCCTCAGACTAACCACGCCCTCTGCTGCAGGAGCGCACCTGTCCAGAACCTTCCCCGGCAGGTGGCAGGACGCCCTCCTGAAGCCAGGCTTCCTGCCTGCAGGAAGGGGGCTCCCTGTCTGCCTGACTTGCCCCCCACAGCCAGGGCTTGGCGGCAGTCCTCCTGAGCCTCTGTCACAGTAGCTGTCCCTGAGGCAGGTCCCTGAGGCAGTCACACCCTCCCTGGGAAAAGCCTGTGTCTTTTGTGCTTGCTACCTGTCAACAAGGAGGGCCGGGCCACCAGGCTCAGGGTCGGACACAGAATGAGCCCGGGTGGGGCTGGGGGACAGCTGGGCATGAGGAGCAGGAGCCCTGGGGCTGCCACTTCTCTGAGGGGTAGGGAGGGTGGCAGTCTCTTCCCCTGTGTCCTTGCCTGCTCCAGACCCAAGAGGAGGATCTGGCTGGGGCTTCCCCTGGGAAGAGTCAGACCGCTCTAAACCACAGCTGTCCCTTCACCTTAGAGAGGTGACAAGGGTCTTGGACAGTGCATGAAATGTTCCCCGAGCCTCGGCTTTCAGGGTTCACGTGTTGGGGGATCTTGGAGTGACTCTTGGGATCCTTTCTCAGTTCTGAGGTCCATGGAAATAACTCCTTCTCCCCAGAATCTCGCTCAGGAGAGGACAGCTCATGGCTGGGGTGGTCCCCTGCTCCTTCTCAGTGCTCTGGTGGCTGGGGAGGGCCATGGGAGTACCTGTCGCCACAGCTGTTATCTCCCCTGGGAGAGCATCGGTACTAAGAGCAGGGGAACAGGACGTCCCAGAAGAGGGAGGGAAGGAGGACTCTTGGTGGATTCTTCCAGAAAGGGCCTCTGGCATTCAGTCCTCTTGTGTCTGCTTTTTGGCCAAGCTAGATCCAAGCCAGGCAAACGTCAACCCCAAAGAAGAAAAAGCCCCTATTAGGAAAAGGCTCTGTGGCTATGGCCGCCTGCCCTCCGCCGCAGCCAGGAAGTGTCGACGACTAAACATGCGGGTGGGAAGTGGCCCTATGCATCTCCCCCAGGCCTGTCCCGTGAGCCTGTCCCAGCCCTCCAGGGTCCCTCTAACCACTCTAAGACCCCACAGCCTCTGGGTGGAGAAGAAGTCCAGACACCCTCAGTTGCTATAGTCCTTGCACCCGGAGAAGAGTGACCAGGGCCTAAGTGGAGAAGTAACTGGGGCCATGTGAAAGAGAGGGCCCTGGAGCCAGGTGGCCAGCGCCACGTGGAGCTCCCTGATGCCCCATTGCATCTCCTGGGCAGCCGAGTTCTCCAGGAAAGAACTGCGGGAACTGGCCCTTTCCCAGCTGGGTCCCCGCAGCGGCCCCCAGGTGCCCAGCCGCCTGGCAGACTGTGCACCTGGCTTCCTCAGGAGCCGCGTCTCCTGCAGGAGGGCCAGGGGAGCTCTACCTGCTCCAGGGTTCGCTGCTAAGCCACTCGGCTGGGAGAGGTGAGGATGTCCTTTGGCTATTGCCCCATGTCTCCATAGAGACGGCCACTTATAGATGAAGTCACAGGTAGGTGGCAGCTGCACGGGCAGCCTCCCCAGCAGGGCGTGTGGCTCGGCCTCCAAGGCTCCTCCTGAGGTGCTGCTACCACCCTGGGCCCCTCCTCCAGGGCCTGGGCCAGAGGGGTGACTTCAGCGTGAAGTGGCACTTCCAGGACGTGGGCTTTCAAACCTCCCCTTGAATTCTTTTAACTGTACTTGATTCTCTGCTCAACCATGCTCCAGCTTTGGGAAGCATGGCGGCCGGGTTAGTTCAAAGACACTGCTGGGGGCAGGAGCAGCAAGAGCCGAGGGCGTCCCCCGCACACGCCTCTGTGACCACGCTGGACCCAGCTCCAGTGCCCCACTCCCCCAATTTGGCTGGATAGACAAGGAACACTTCCATGAGAACCACCATGCGTCCCGAGTCGCGGCGCTCACTCGGGCTGCACCTGGGGAGACCCTCTCTGAGGACTCGAGGGACCTCGGTGGCCCCCAGTCTGTTGGAGGGCCCTGACCGCCAGGCGCAAAGGCAGACAGGCCCGGCGGGGGGAGGATGGTGGCGAACTGGCCCCCAGGATAATAAACCACGATCGTACCATTGAAAGAAGAGGACAAATGCCCCACTTCCAAAAGTCACATCGACCCCGCTTCACGGATTAGGGATGCTGCAGGGAGGAAAGGTGCCCCCACTGGACAATATCGACGGCATTGAACCCGACTTTCCTGCCCTCCCGGTCCTGTCTGTGCCCCCCACTCTCACACAGAGCTAGGTCTTGATACTACTGATTTTGAAGGACGGTTTTCAGCGTCTGATCTGTTTGCCGTGGTTGGGGAGAGCCGAGTGCTAAAAGAACCAGAGCCTCAACCAGTACTTACTGTTCTCATTGTAAGATATTTTAACCCCGTATAAATGCAACTTTTCCTGTAGCTTAATGGCCTGGGGTGGAATATTAAGAATATATATTAAAAATACATTAAAAATTCAGAAAAATGTAAAAAAAAAATGAGGTCCGTTCCATAAAGTTTCACTGCCTATACCACCATGTAACTACATTATAGCAAATATTAAAAGAAACGTTCTTGCCTTTTAAAGTAAGTTATTGCACTTACATCTTCTGGGGAGGGGAGGAACTGGGCGAGAAGGGGACTTAGGGGCTGAGGCGAGGGGCACCACAGAGCGGGGACAGCCGGATGCGCCCAGCACCCCCTTGTTGGGCACAGCCCAGACTGTTTGGATGTTGTTGTTTGCAATAAACTCCTTCTCCTTCCTCCTCTCAACTGGAATCTGTGTTTTGTTCCTGACTTGTGACAGATGAAATGTGATCAGAGGAGCCTCTGAAATCTCACATTAATTGAAGTCGGCAAAAAATACTAACAGTGCCCTTTTGAACTGCTGACACAGTGCAGAATGGATTACCAGGCTAGATTAACAACAGGTGGCGGCCGATGCTCCTGCACAAAGGGGTACGTGGCCTGCGAGGGTCTGCGACCCCCCTCCCTTGCACAGCTTGAGGGGGCAGGGGCACCTCTCAGGCAGCGGAAGGGGTCTTGGCGGCAGCTTCTGACCCCCCTCCGGGGCGTCTCGGGTGCGCTCGGCGCAGACCACGCCTGGAAGGTCTCATGAGCAGCCCTCTGTGTCCCGGATGACACGGTGCCACTGTTTCCACGCTTCTTCTGGAAGCAGGAGAGGAGCCAGGGCTTGGAGGTCCTGCTGCTTGGCACCAAGAGGACAGGACAGGCCTCCCGGAGAGGCAGGCCACAGCTGGGCCCTGCGACTTTGTGGCAGAGGGGACTTTCCTGTAGGAATGGAGTTTTTAAAATCAGGCTCTAAAGAAAAAAGACGAAGCGGAGAAGGACCCAGTTCCTGCTGCGGCTCCTGCACCCAGTGACTCGGGAGGGGCGGTTGGCCTGTCTCTGTGAGAGGCAGGGAGCCGGTTTCTTTTTTTAAACCAAACTAGCCAACTCTCAGTTCCCCACCTGAAGGTGGAATGGCCCTGCCCCTGTCTTGTTCCCCAACTTGAGTGGGTTTAGGGGCTTATCTACGTGCGTGGTCTTTTGTAAGTTGATGTGGCATGGTGACAGAAGGACCATGACTTTCCAGCTGTGAGTGCCACAGGAAACCCCTCCTCAGCCTCTCCTTCCTCTCCTTCTCCCTCTTGGAGCCGCATCTTAGATTTGGTTCCTGTGGGGAGTACATTCATAGTCACTGCAGCCGCTGGGTTTCAGGTGGGCCTGGAAACTTGTTTATGAAGATGACAGCTGTCACACATTAGGGCTCAGGGTCAGGTTCCACTTGGACACTCACAAAACCACTGCTTCCCTGGCTTCCATGAGGGACGGGCTCCAGAACCCCTGTGGACACCCACACGCAAGGACACCAGGCCCTTATGACAAAATGGTGCCCACACCCACACGGCCCTCCCACACGCACTTGAGACCATCTCTGGAGGAGCTCGGTGGCCGGGCACATGGAAGCACTGTGGGGACAGTAACTGCCACGTTGTCAGGGAATCACAAGAACCAAAGCCGCCCAGGCTCAGTAGGGCTGCAGGTTTCTTCGCCCCTCAGTTGGGTGAGTCTGTGGCTGTGGAACCAGAGGCGGAGGGTGACTGCAGCCTCCAGAGGACACGGCCGCTGGCCCCCTCACTGTTGACTCAGGCTCAGCCCCTCGCGGTCTGGCCACCCAGCGCAGCTCATGGTTCCGGAGCCATGTGGCCCTCTCGCAGGCCACATCACTGGACTTCACCCGTCCCCCTCCTCCATGGCAGGCTGCTGCGGACCCTGTGGGGTGCCTTCAACTGACAGCAGCCCCCCGAGGCTCCCGCCCAGCTTCCCCAGAGCCATCTGTAATGGCCTCGGGACAGGATGCAGGTGTTACCTGTGACCTGCCCACTCCCCCTGTGCCTCCTGTGTCCACAGGAGAGGGCCTCCGAGAAGTCCTGAACGAATGAGATAAACCTCGAGGTGCTGGGTTGTGATTCTGAGGGGGAAGGGGGAGCGCAGGGGAGGCTCAGGGCCCCCTCAGGGAGGGCTGGAGGAGACGAGCCCCGAGATAGGCCTGGAGAGAACTCGGCTCCACCGGACTGTGCTCCTCCAGGGTTCACGCGCTCTCGTGATGAGCCACGGCCTTGGCGGGCAGCCTGGCCTCTGTATTTAGTGTTTCTTGGGCCAGCACAGGCCAGCCCCCCAAGATGGCGCGAGAGGGCCTGTGTCCAACGGCCCTCCTCTTAGAGCCTGTCTCC